GACAGTCTATTCAATAAGCGATGGTGGGAAGATGGACATGTATGTGCAAAAAAATGAAACTAAACGACCTTCTTACACCATACACAAGAATAAACTCAAAATGGGACTCTCATCACAGATGAGGCACCTTTAATACTTGGGAGTGACTGTTCCCTATAAGGCACTGAAAATCATCTTTCAGGGACTAACAAGGATACTGAGGCTATTAGTACCGGTATATTTCCTGACTTTCCTGCTAGAAGAAAACAAAGCTTTGGAGACATTACAGCTTAAGAACTGCAAAGTGTAGTAATCCTGGTGGAGGACTGAATCCAGGTACTCAAAAAGGAAGGTAAACATTCTGAAAAATGAAAAGAATAAAATCTCCTTTGTATATTAGAGGGTCATCCTAAAGAGAGCAGAGGAGAGATCTCTGGAGTTTGAGTTTGGGGCTGAATTTATCCCCTTAAAGAGTAAGAGTAAGCCCTCAACTGAGGTTCTCTGTATCACCTCATCTCAGTGGTTCTAATCTCCCTCTTAGAGTCACTTGAAGACTAGAATTTAAAATGCTGTTGCCCAGACCCACCCCACACCAATTTGGATAAAATTGGACTTAAACAAATCTCTGGGAATGGGGGCTGAACACTGGCCTCTTTTTAAAATTCCCCAAGTGTGCCCTGGCCAGTTTGGCTCAGCGGTTAGAGCATCGGCCTGAGGTCCGGAGAGACCCGGGTTCGGTTCCCGCTAAGGGCATGTACCTCAGTTGCAGTTTGTCCCCGGCCCTAGTTGGTCGTGCGAGTGGCAGCCACTCGATGTGTCCCTTTCACATCGATGTTTCTCTCTCTCTCTCCCCCTCCCCCTCTCTCTCCCTCCCACTCTATCTGTACAAAAAATGGAAAAATGTCCTCAGGTGAGGATGAAAACAAAAAATAAAAAAATAAAAAAAAATAAAATTCCCCAAGTGTGTAGCTAGGGCTAAAAACCATGAGCTCTCTTGGACTTCCTATATGCCACAATAAGTGGAGTTCCACAGAAGAGAGAGGTCCTGCATTGGATTCCTCAATGGAATAGAGGAATAAGAATGTCACAGTTAAGTCATTCAACCTTTAAAGTTTATGTCTTTGAGTAGTTCTCTCTAAACTGCCATCCTGCCCTAGCTAGTGTGGCTCAGTTGATTAAGCATCATCCCATGCACCAAAAGGTTGTTGGTTTGATTCCATGTCAGGGTGCATACCCAGGTTGCAGATACCCTGTCTGTCGGGGTGCGTGCAAGAGGCAGCTGATCGATGTTTTTCTCTCACATCAATGTCTCTCTCTCTCTCTCAAAATCAATAAAAATATATTTAAAAATAAACTCTCTGCCATCCTAACCAAAGCAAATCTCCAAGTTTTAGGTTCAACCTAATACCATGTATTGACAAGATGCTTTTTGTTCTCTTCCCAGTTATGCCTGCTCAGAATGCTGTACTTTTTCAGGAGGGGATCATGGAAGAGAAGGAAATAAATAGTGGATCACAGATAGTCCCGGTAAGTTTAGCTCGACTCTCCCCTGAAATGCTATTATAGTTCTCAGAATGTGGGCACTTTTATTTTTCAGTTTTCAGAAGCACTAAGCCCCCAAACTCCAGAGCCCTTGAAATTCTTGACAGATGATAATCTCTACGGGATGTTTCCCATTCACCTTATATACCCCCTTTTTTGTTGTTGTTGTTTTAATTTTTTTTCTTTATTGATTATAGCCCTTTTCCCCTCCAGCATTTTTACCAGATCAAGTACTCATGTGAGTGCTGGGTGTAAAAGAAGCAAAAGAAGCCATAGACTGTCTTATAATCTCCCTTCCTTAAACAGCTCACCAGAATTCCACCCACACTGTGCGCAATGAATGAGGCCCAGGCCACTGTGACTGCTTGGAACTAATGGCATTATTAAATATGCCTGAGGACACCGGCTGCCACAAGTTAGTTTTTATCCAGAACCTTTTACAGCTTTTCAAAACCTGTTTAAGCCTATTGTTACAGTTCTACAATCTGATTGAGAATCATGTAAACTGAAGAGGTGTAACTGTCTGTTCCTATGAAAACTAGTTGAATGTTTTGGAAAGATTCAGTAAATGCCATTTTTAAAAAATTGCTATTAAATTAGGTATGAGCGCCCTGGCTGGTTTGGTTCAGCGGTTAGAGCGTTGGCCTGCGGTCCAGAGAGACCCGGGTTCGGTTCCCACTAAGGGCACATAGCTCAGTTGCAGTTTGTCCCCGGCCCTGGTTGGGTCGTGCGGGTGGCGACCACTCGATGTGTCCCTTTCACGTCGATGTTTCTCTCTCTCTCTCTTCCTCCTACTCTATCTGAACAAAATATAAAAAAAAAAAAATTAGGTATGAGCAAACTGTAAAACACAGATGTAAAAATCTCAGAGTATTCTACATCTACATTATTTCCCAAGTGTCATTTGCTTGTTCTCCTTTAATGAAACAAAAACCGATGCATTATGGATATGGGCACTCAATAAAATCACTGTCATAGAAAAAGCTTAGCTTTACATCAAAAGATGAGCCAGTGAATATACATGTATATATTTTAAATTAAAATGTTTAAGATATCTTTTATGGATCTTTACTTTAACCAGCTGTTTTTACTTAACACACCAGATATCAGTCTTAGTTGCTTCATATAGGAGGACTTCTATTTTTCCAAATTCTGAGATAATCATTATCTGTGCATAGCAAATAAACTCATTGGAGATTTTTAAAAGCCTACATCACACAGTTAATATTCAAAAGTATAAATATAATGTTGGATGCAGCTATGCATGCAAAAGGAAACAAATACTGTACAAGAGGTACTCAGAGAAGAGAGAAATCTAATTGAGACTGGAGGAACGAGGGAAGACTTCATGAAGAAGGTAGAGTTTGAATTTGTGCTGATATCAGGTAGGGTTTGGAAATGAGAGAAGACTGAACCATTGCAGACAGGAAATAAAACTTGAGCAAGAGATGAGCATTTATTTGGTACATTGGTGTTTGGGGATCGTTGGTCTGCAAGGAATAAATTCATTCAGTTTACACTTAATTGTAAGGCTCCCCACACACAGGAATAAAAAGACATCGAGAATTAATGTAGCATATGTGTCTCTTTGCTTTCTAGCCAGAGGAGTTTGTTTTAGTGTTCCAGCGATGTATTGTGTTAAGAAAGAAGATGATCTCATTCCTTCAACAAATATTTTTTGAGCAGCTACTGTCAGAAATTATGCTTGGCATCAGATATATATCAATGAGCAAAACAAACATGGTCCTAAACCCACGTGATCTAACAGAGAGAGCAAATATACTAATAAATTACAAGTTGAGATGTGTATTATACAAAATAAAAGTAAGGTGCTGTGAATGTGCATTAGGAAATCAGGGAAGAACTCTCTGGCTAAGCAAAATTTAAAGTGAGAGGTGAAGGATATATAGAAGTTATAAACGGAAGTGGAAAAGAGCATTTTAAGCATGTGGTAAACATCATGTGTAAAAACCATGGGTATATTTGAGAAATTAAAAGAAGGCCAGTGTGGTTGGAGTGGAGGGAGGGAGAGAATGATTGTAAGTAACCTTAGAGAAGCATACAGGGCTAAGTAGGCAGGGCCTTTGAAAAGTTTGAGTTTTATTCTAAGTGCAGTGAAAAGCCTTTGAGGCAATTTAAGCAGGATGGTAACATAATAAATAAATAAATAAATTCCACTTAAAACATCACCCTGGTGTGTGCTGTATGATAAGGGAACTTGTAAGAGGCAAGAATGGAAAGGGGAGAGAACACTGAGGAGGCTATTGTAGTATTCTAGATGACAAAAAATGGTAGCTTAAAACTCGAAGATGGAGAAAATAGCTGGGTTTGAGAGCTTTGTTTTGAGACTCAGCAGAGATGAACAGGAAGGGTAAAGGCAAAGGAAGAAAAGTGATTTTTTTTTTTATCCTCACCCGAGGACATTTTTCCAGTTTTTGTTCAGATAGAGTGGAAGAAGAGAGAGAGAGAGAGAAACATCGATATGAAAGGGACACATCGAGTGGCTGCCACCCGCACAACCAAACAGGGCTGGGGACAAACTGCAACCTAGGTACGTGCCCTTAGTGGGAACCAAACCCGTGTCTCTCGGGACCACAGGCCGATGCTCTAACCGCTGAGCAAAACCGGCCAGGACTGATTTTTTTTTTTTTCCTCACCCAAGGACACTTTTCCATTTTTTGTTCAGATAGAGTGGGAAGAAGAGAGAGAGAGAAACATCGATGTGAAAGGGACACATCAAGTGGCTGCCACCCGCACAACCCAACCAGGACCGGGGACAAACTGCAACCGAGCTAACGTGCCCTTAGCTGGAACTGAACCCGGGTCCCTCTGGACTGCAGGCTGATGCTCCAACCACTGAGCAAAATTGGCCAGGGCTGACATGTCACTCCTGCTCAAAATGCATGGCTCCCATTTCACTCAGAGTAAGAGCCAAAGCCTGATGATGGGCCAAATAAGTCCTACAGAATCTAGAATCTGGACCTTTCTGACTTTTATCATTTACTTTTCCCCCTTGCTCACTCCACTCTACCCATCCTGGCCTCATCATTCTTGTTCCTTAAATGTGCCACACACTATTGCATTAGGGCCTTTGTACTAATAACTTCCCAAGCCCTCAAATGTCACCTCTTCAGTGACATTTTTTCTATATTGTTTTGTAATTGTTTAGGTGATATATAAGAGTCTTTCCTCTATTACAAATTGTAAACAGCTTAAAAGCAAGCATCATTTTATGTATGTTTTTATATCTGTCTTGAAAGATGATAGAAAAACAGGTATTGCCCTGGCCGGTTTGGCTCAGCGGTTAGAGCGTCAGCCTGCGGTCCAGAGAGACCCGGGTTCGGTTCCCGCTAAGGGCATGTACCTTGGCTGCAGTTTGTCCCCGGCCCTGGTTGGGTCATGTGGGTGGCGGCCACTCGATGTGTCCCTTTCACATGATGTTTCTCTCTCTTCCTCTCTCTCCTTCCCACTCTATCTGAGTGAAAAACAGGTATTAATTGTTGTTTCAAAAATTTTGACCTGGGTTACTCAGAGCCCTGAAGACTTTCAATACAACAGCTTAGACACCCTAACCTTCACAGAGATTTAATACATATAATTACATATATTAAACTGATAAGAACAGATACTACACTTGATCTTAGCCAAAAGGCCGAGAAGCGATACATATAGAAATGGATATGGAGTTATGTGTGTGTGTGTGCACATATGTGTTCATGTATACATATTTCACTATATACATATCTCTGTCTTCCAAATACAACCACTGAGCAGGCCTAGAAGCAGTGATACTCCAGTAACAGTGAACACACCTTGTGCCCAGGTCTTGGTTCCTAAATGCCATTCTATATTTAAAAAAGGCAGACATAGCCACTCAGTTTTGACCAGCAGAGTAGAACATGATACTGCAACCCTGTAGAAACTCTAGTTGGAAGAAGAGCCACTCTATATTTGATCATTAAAAGGAATCAAGGATCCTTGAAGAAATGGCTGATTCCAGGCTTGAGACAGAAAAACACAATAAGAACTTTTTTTTTTTAATCCTCACCCAAGGACATTTTTTCCATATTTTGTTCAGATAGAGTGGGAGGGAGAGAGAGAGAGAGAGAGAAACATCAATGTGAAAGGAACACATCAAGTGGTTGCCACCGCACGACCCAACCAGGGCCGGGGATAAACTGCAACCGAGGTACGTGCCCTTAGCAGGAACCGAAACCGGGTCTCTCTGGACCGCAGGCCAACGCTCTAGCTGCTGAGTCAAACCGGCCAGGGCGCAATATGAACTTTTAAAGAATATTTTTCTGACCCAAAAAATAAAGAAGTGGTCAAAAATGATAGAGATAGCCCTGGCAGGTTTGGTTCAGCGGTTAGAGCGTTGGCCTGTGGTCCAGAGAGACCCGGGTTCGGTTCCCACTAAGGGCACGTACCTCGGTTGCAGTTTGTCCCCGGCCCTGGTTGGGTCGTACAGGTGGTGACCACTCGATGTGTCCCTTTCACGTCGATGTTTTTTTCTCTCTCTCTCTCTCCCTCCTACTCTATCTGAAAAAAATATCAAAAAATGTCCTCGGGTGAGGATAAAAAAAAATTTTTCAATAAAAATGATAGAGATATGTCAAAAGGACAGAGAAGGAAGTTTGAAGGAGCTTCTACTGGCTAAATCCAGCATAGTTATGGGCATTAAAGTAAATAGTGATAATAAATGATTATAATTTATTGTGTAAAAAAGTAAACAAATCCATCTGATATAAATTAATGAGTTAATGAGAAGGTAAATGTCTTCAACACAGTAGAAAGCCAACTAATAATATACAAAGAATGATGGAATTAGAAAAGCACCACTGCCCTGGCCAGTTTGGCTGAGCGGTTAGAGCATCGGCCTGCAGCCCACAGAGACTCGGGTTCAGTTCCCGCTAAGGGCACGTACTTCGGTTGCAGTTTGTCCCTGGCCCTGGTTGGGTCGTGCAGGTGGCAACTATTCGATGTGTCCCTTTCACATCGATATTTCTCTCTCTCTCCCTCTCCCTCCAACTCTATCTGAACAAAATATGGAAAAATGTCCTCGGGCGAGGATAAAAAAAATTTTTTTAAAAGAAAAAGAAAAGCACCACTTAGCAACCATCATCATCACCCTTGATAAAGGCAAGAATTATCAGTGGATGCTAAAATTAGCGGATGAAAGTTCCAGGAGAAGCAAGATATTTATAGTCTCAAAGTATCTTCCACACAAGATACTTATTAACTACAGGATGAAATAGTAATTTTCCAGTGAAAACTACTGGTAGGTAACCACCTTAACCAAATTATCAAAGCTAGCCCTGGCCGGTTTGGCTCAGTGGTTAGAGCGACAGCCTGTGGACCTGAGAGTCCCGGGTTCGGTTCCCATTAAGGGCACATACATCGGTTACAGTTTGTCCCTGCCCCAGTGGGCGGCAACCACTTGATGTGTTTCTTTCACATCAAAGTTTCTCTCTCTCTCTTCCTTCCTCTCTCCATCCCACTCTATTGAAGATAAATGCAAAAATGTCCTCGGGTGAAGATTTAAAAAAAATTATCAAAGTTAACATTGCCAGTAAGGAAACTAGTCAACAGGTGCCTGCTAATATGAGAAGAACCGAGCATCCCCTTCCATACTGTTCCTGCCAGAAGTGCATAGTGTGAACCTACTCTAGAGGAGAAATCAAGCCCAAATTGAGGTTCATTCTCAAGATAACTAACCTGCACTTTTCAAAGTGTCAGTGTTACGAAATACAAAGAAAGGCTCAGGACTGTTACAGATTCAAAGAGACAAAAGATACAAGAGAACCAAATGGAGTGTATGCTCTTGAATTTTCTTTTGTTATAAAAGACATTAGGACATTTAGTGGCATCTAAATAATTCTTTGGTTTTGACAGCAGTACTGTATCAGTGTTAATTTCCTGATTTTGATCATTGTACTGTTCTTATGTAGGAAAATTCCTTGTTTTTTAGAAAATAAATATCAATTTTTTTAGGCATAAAGGGGCATCATGCCTGCAACTTACTCTTAAATGATCCAGCAAAATTATAGAGAGAGAGAAGAAGGGAGAGGAGATTGAAGGATTTATTTTATTATTCCTACAAGTTTTCTTTAAGTCTAAACTTATGTCAAAAAAATTTTAATTTAAAAAGAATAATGAGTCCCTAGCCGGTTTGGCTCAGCAGTTGGACCAAAGAGTGCAGGTTTGATTCCAGCCAAGGGTACATACCTCAGTTGCAGTTTGTCCCCGGCCCTGGTCAGCGTCATGTGGGAGACAGCCAGTCGATGTATCTCTCTCACATCAATGTTTCTCTCTCTCTACCCCCCTCCCACTCTATCTGAAGATATTTGAAACAATATCCTCGGGTGAAGATTAAAAATATATAAATAAATAAAATAAAAATAATAATCAGGTAGCTGTCTTATGTCCTAATATGTCTGAGATGGAAAAATTTCTAGCATTAATTGTTAAGTTAAGAAATAGTGTATAAAATATGTTACCTTTGATGTAAAAATTAAAAGTGGGAGGAAATAAGAATCCTTATGCATATTTGCACAAAAAAATAATTCTGGAAAAATACAAAAACTCTAAGTAGTGATTATTCATTGGGAGTAGGAGCTGGCAGAGAGAAAATAAGGCTGAGAGACATGACTTTTACTAAATATTATTAATGTGCTTTTTTCCTGCTCCATATTGATATATTATCTGCCTAAAAATAGAATTCAACCTGGCCAGTGTGGCTCAGTGGTTGAGCGTCAGTCCATGCACCAAAAGGTCGCTGGTTCAATTCCTGGTCAGGGCACAAGCCCAGGTTGTGGGCCAAATCCCCAGTGAGGGGTATATAGGAGGCAGCCAATCAATGTTCTCTCTCATCGATGTTTCTCTCTCTCTCTCTCTCTCTCTCTCTCTCTCTCTCTCTCTCAAATCAATAAAGAAAAAGAAAAAGAAATAAATAAAAATAGAATTCAAGTAAGGATATGAAAATAAAGGAAAAAAACAGGTAACCAAGTGCAAGATCATTAGAAAGTATAGAAGGAAGGAGAAACTGTAGGTAAGGTACTGATTAAAATAGCCAAAAGAACTACAGATGTGAATTTTAAAGAATGTAAACTATAATTCATGATATTCCTCGTCCTGGTGCTTAAGAAGCATAGGGAAAATTGAATGGAAATTAGAAATAAAAGTCACAAAAGGGAAGTTATTACCGAAGCAGAAAAGACATCTTTGTTGTATGATGGAAAGAGCATAAACTTTAGAATAAGATCTAAGATGAAATTCTGTTCCTGCTATTTACTAGCTATATGTCCTTGGATAAATTAATTTTTCCAGCCTTGGTGACTCATCTCTAAATGCCAGTGTCATTGAATTATAATATATTTTTAGAAAGATATGTTATCAAAGCATGAAAATTAATTTAAATAAAAGGTCAATACTGTATGCCCTGGCCGGTTTGGCTCAGCACTTAGGGCATCAGCCCATAGACCAGAGAGACAGGGTTTGGTTCCCGCTAAGGGCACGTACCTTGGGGCAGTTTGTACCGGCCCCAGTTGGGGTTGTGTGGGTGGCAACCACTCAATGTCTCTCTCTCACATCAATGTTTCTCTCTCTCTCTCTTCCCCCATCTCTCCCTCCCGCTCTTTCTGAAGATAAATACAAAAGTGTCCTCGGGTGAGGATGAAAAAAAAAAAGGTCAATATTGTACTTAGATATTAAATCTTAATTTATGGGCAAGAGCACTTATTTGGAACACCACAATCTACTCATTCTGAAGAATTGAGGAGTTATTGTACCCATGAAGTGAGTTGTATTGGGGATGGGGTGTTATTAAACGAGGAGAGGGAGGTATATATATATTGGTTGTGTGTCTGTGCCTGTATGTCTGTATTTCTTAGAGCAAAAGGATTGCCTAAGAAGCCTTGATAATGGAGGAAATATAGAGGTTACCCTTTTTTATTTGAAATTCTTACCTGTAACACCCAGCCAGTGTGACTCAGTGGTTGAGCATTGACCCATGCACCAAGAGGTCACCAGTTTGACTGCCGGTCACAGTGGCCAGTGGCCAATCATTGTTCTCTCTCATTGATGTTTTTGTCTCCCTCTCCCTCTCCCTTCCTCTCTCTCTACAAAGCAATAAAGAAAAAAAAATTTTTTTAAATTCTTACCTGTAGCAAGTTTCTTTTATTGATATCAATATGCATCATGTACCTTCTACTCTTAACCTGTTTGCCCTTGTTGCTTTCACTTTTTTTAACGCACTGAAATATCCCCTCTCCTCTTCTGTCCAAACCCTAAAATATTTTAAGGACTACACAAGATACAGCGATTCAATACCTACTTTCTCTCTTTCAGCATGTTCTGAATTCTGTCATTTCTGGAATCTTATAGCATGAATTTCCCATATCATTTTTTAATTGTTTGGATTATTTGCCCTGCTACGGATTGTAAAAAGCTTAAAAGCCAGCCCTGGCCAGGTTAGCTCAGTGGTTAGAGTGTCGGCCTGCGGTCCGGAGAGACCCGGGTTCGGTTCCCGCTAAGAGCACGTACCTCGGTTGCAGTTTGTCCCCGGCTCTGGTTGGGTCGTGTGGGTGGCGACCACTCGATGTGTCCCTTTCACGTCAATGTTTCTCTCTCTCTCTCCCTCCTACTCTGTCTGAACAAAATATCGAA